CAGCCACACACAGCAGCTTCTGCTTACACAGAATCAATAGTTCTCCATCCAAGCAAACAAGAGGCACGATTTCAGTCCAGCCAGGCAAGAGCCCCTTAAGAGTGTGCAGAGCAGGGCCCGTGAAGGACCTGGCCTGGGCAGAGTCCAAAAGAGCCAGATAAAGAGACCTGACATTTGGCCAGAGACTCCCCACCTGTGACTTCCTCTTAATACAGATGTGTGTTTAGCACAGACAAAAGGGAGGGTGGTGGTTGGAGCTAGGGCAGCTGAGAAGAAAATGAATGGGGCAATGGTGCTGGGTGATGTGGGTGGGGGAGAGAGAATGAGGTAGGGGGCTGATGTGGCCTGCAGGATCCCTGTTGAAGAATTGGGATGGGGGGATAATGCACTGTCGGGTGGTGATCCAGTGGACCCAGTTGTTTTTTCTGGAATAGGGTTGTGATAATTAGCATGTGAAAGCCCTGATAACACTGGGGTTCTTGTTCGGGCTGAATCAAGTGAGATATACTACCCTTCGGGTGCCAGTTCAGAGCCCATAACTGCTATTTGTGGCCGCCATCAGGAACAATTAACCTTTCAAGCTCTGCCGTCTCCCCTCGCCTTTCTGATGCAGCTGCTTTTGCAACTGCAGATCTGCGTTCTGCTCCACAAAAAGTGCTGGCTTTGGCAGTGAGTGTTATCTCCTAGAAACCACAGGATGTGTGCAGAGAAGATGAGAATCCCCCCCACTTTTTTATAATCAAAGCTCAATCATGAAGGGGAAAACAGTCATTAAGTTTTAATTGAAGGGAATTGTTGGGTCTACAGTTAGCAGAACAAAAAGGCTGTTCCATTCATGGTTATTTTTTGCTTTCCTTCAATATTCAGAAAATAGTCTTGCTCATCATGAGATCAAGATCTGCACATTTTCAGTTATTCAACAGCCCTTTAATTATGCGATGCCGTGATTCCCAAAACACAGCAGCAGGCACCCTAATGTGTTTTGAGAGACCTGCTTGTATGTCCCATAATTCATAAATAAAAGCTTCTGTGAGCTTCAGTCCCTTCCCACCAGGAGGCTGCCTGCTACATCTCTGTATGATTCATTGCTCTGCCCCGGCCACCTTTATAACAGCAGTGATACCTGTATCAGAAGCAACCTGGTTCATTCGTTCACTCTTCCCTGTGCCAAGTTTCCTCTTGCAACTCTGGATGAATTCCTTTTCTGTGCTTGCCCTGATGTATTTGGGAGACCCAGTCAGTGGGCTCTGAGGACAGGCAATAGGTTTACTTTTGAGAAGGGGGGATATATATGTGAATCATTCTTCCAGTTTCAATTCAGAATGTTTCTCTCTCTCTGCTGTCAGGAATTTAGGAAACACTGACTTAAGTATAGGTGAAGGATACTCAGCAGAGTTTGTGAGCTAAAATTGTCTCCAGCGTGTGTAAATTGGGAAGGTTCTTGTTTATGGAATAATCTTGCTTCAGCAAGGGTGTACTTATTTCTCCCATTATATATTTGCCTAAGGCGGCCCTTCAAGTTCCAAACAACAGTAAGATTAATATTTTAACCAACAGGAGGGTTAATATTTTTGTACAAGTTCTAAGCGACTGTAGAATTAATATTAAAACCAGCAGTAGAATTAATACGTCAAAAATTCACTTTTTTGGAATGTGTGCATACAAATAAGGACAAACCTTATTCATATATGAAATTTAATCTATTGCTATTTATATACCTTTTCTACTGATATATGTATGTTGTTCATTTAATTAGTGGAATTCATTTAACTGATACATAGCAATTGGGTTGTTTATTATTTCTGTCACATTTACTTTACTGAGATGTATGTCTTTTTGTTCAACCTGTGACTTAGTTGTTTTGCTCACGCTGAAATAGTAACAGGGCAGACCCTCTTATTTTGTCTTTTAATATATATTTTATTGAATTTTAAACAAGTACAGAGCAACAGAGAACAAAGAACTCCCACTAATAACTAATCAGAGTGAAGGCCCTTCTATAAAAGTCTTTTTTCATCAGTGTAAACTCTTTTATGTCCCCTCCCTTCTTTTCTTAATAATCATTTGGATATTTTATGTTGTGTGTGTTTTGCTGGAGCTGGAAGGGAAATAAAATGCAAATATTGTAACTTGGTATGACATGGGATGGAATTCTACCTCTCTAACACATTTGATAAGCAGGGGACTTTGGTGGGTGACTGGAAAGAATATCCCAGGGCAAGACTATCCCAGTGGCTGGGCAAACTCAGCCAGATGGGCGGGGTATAAATAATAATTTATTATTATTAATTATTATTATTATATTACTCTACGTCAGTGGTTCCCAAAGTGGCTGGTACCACCCCTTGGGTGGCAATGAGATTACTTAAGGCAGCCTTTCTCAATCTGTGGGTCCCCAGATGTTGTTGAACTACAACTCCCATCACCCCTAGCTAGCAAGGTCAGAGCTCAGGGATGATGGGAGTTGTAGTACAACAACATCTGGGGACCCACAGGTTGAGAACCTCTGACCTAAGGGATGCTATGATTCCAATGGGATCAGCAGGGGGGTGCTGGAGCTGTGGTTGACAATCAGAGAAGCTTGTGCCACTGGATCAAACTCATCAGTGTTGTGGAATTAATTAAACTAAATAGTTTTAATTGGTTTTTGAATAAAGGTGCAATTAATTGTTGTTTTGAACTGTATTGTGTTATTATCTTCCTTAGTGGGTTGTGCAAACCTTTATTCTGAATAATGTTTTTTATAGAGTAGGGATCACTGGAGATGAATCTATGGGACCAAGCAGGCGAAAGTTTTTGGGAACCATTGACTTAGGTCATCTGGGGAAATTCTGCTGCTCGCAGCATGCCCCACATGCCCATCGTATGGTAGTGACCCCAAAATGGACATTTTCTGCTGTTGCCTAACCCTTTCCTCTTCCATATGTGAAGCAGCCGCTATCAGTTGCTTTAGGTGTCTCCCAAAGGCTCTGTTTTTTTGCCCAGGCTTTTCCTGTCCTATAAGATTGGACCCTGTTTTATCTGCTTAGATCTCCCAAATTTTTGCTTCATCTGTAACTACTGTTTTATTGGTATTATTTTGCGTTTTTTGTTTTAATGATATGTTGTTTGTTTTTCAAACTATTTAAAAGAGATGTTTGAAATATTAAGTGGTTTGTAAATGCTTCTAAATAAATGAATGTATCTCATGATAGGAGATAAAAAGTAGCCTTTCTTGTTTTTGCTGAAGCAGGCTACCTCTTTGGAATCTACATAACTTGGGAGGTATTTCCTTCCACTTATGCCCAAACATTGCGATCTCTCGGCTTAACAGAGACCATCACCCTGCTGACAATAAAGCTTCATGTTGCAGGTGAACTGCCGCTTAGTTCTCCAGCAAACTAATGTGTAACTCCCATTATTTCTCCTCTAGGATGGGAATCTCAGCTTCTGGAGACAGGTTTTTTAGGAATATTCCTCTGCCCTCTCTGGACACTTTCCCAGTTGCCCAGACGCACCCCACCTTCCCGCATAGTCATCTGGGGCTATCGATGGCTTATCTTCAGAATCATGCTTGGAGCAGTAAGTGAATTTCCCCCACATCTTATATTTGTTTAATTTTGCATTTGTTTGCTCCAAGTATACATTGGACTTGTAAGTTGACAGTTTCCTGGGGAGTCCTTGTTGGGAGCAAGAATTTCCTCTATGTGGAAACCCAGGGGGGCATTTTTTCCCCTCCCCACATGACTCGGCTGGAAAACAGCATTGCAAAATTTGGAGAAGTGAGAATTTCAAGAGATCACTGTGCTTCAGTTCACATATTGTTTCAGATGGTGTAAAATAACTTGGTTCGCCTTTAAGTACAAACTGAATCAAATCTCCCCTGCTCCCTCCTCCCATTCCTACTTGAATCTAACAAATCTTTGGGTATAGTCTCAAGTGTGAACTGAGGGTTGTGGGAGAGGTTTTTATTTGAATCTCTCCTAACTAAATGCTAATTGAAGTGCTTGATTAACATGAGATCTCACCTCAGGCTTCAGCTATTAACCAGGGCTGTGCGTTGGTAGGTGATTACTGCCTGCTTTCCATTATAAGTGGAGCTGAAATTTAAAAATCACTTTGGGAAGACAGTAATTCCTTCGCATTTTTCAAAGTTTAAGAACACTGTCGTGCAAAGGGCCTAGGTCTCAAGATCTGTGTGATGTTCCACTATAGCTGAAATTTTTTGTACCTTCCATTTACCCCAGTAGAATAAATGACCACCTTTTCTTATCACTTTTTCTTACAGGTTTAGGCTGCCCTGTGGGGCTACAGGTTTTCATCACACTAGGCAGTTAAGGGGTTAAAGATTTTCTGTCCGGCAATACTGGATTGATAATGGGAATCTCAAGGAGCCTCTCAGCTTTCTGTGATTCCCTCTTGCATTTAGTCTCTCCAACAAAAAAAAAACGAGACAGGGAAATAACCCCCCTCCCTTCAGAGCTGTCCATCTCCCAGTTCCTTTCCTCCTGGAGAAGGGGAGGGGGCTTGATCCAGTAAGCTCCTCCTCTTGCCCCTGCCATGACACCACCAGCATCATCCCAAGAGGTTCCATGGTCTGCAAAACCCATCAAGACTCCCCTCCCTGCTTTCTGCTTCCAGCATCAAGGGACCCCTCAAGCATGAGACAAAACTGCACCTGCTACATTCAGCCAAGGTTTAATCATCTAACATTATTTTTGAAGGTAGGGACGGGGAGGTGGGGAAGCAACAGCCCTGACTGCTTTTTGAGAAATTGCTCTCAAGGCAACAAACAAACAAATTGGCCAGTTCCGGTTTGCTTGCAAAAACCGGTCTCTGCCCAAAACAATGTGGTGGGTTTTTTTTTTTTTGTCTACGGAGCTAACATCAAATTGAAATCCTGCAGCCTCACAAGCCAAATTTGTTGGCGAGAAATGCCAGTGTGTGCATATTGGCCTGTATGTATGTATGTATGTATGTATGTGTGTCGTAAGGTGGTTCAAGAGAGCCCTCATTCATGGGGAAATGGCCATGGCTCTGTGGTTAGAGCATCTGCTTTGCATGTAGAAGGTCCCAGGTTCAATCCCTGGCATCTCCATGTAGAGCTGGGAGAGATTCCCAGTCTGCAGCCCTGTAGAGCTGATGACACTCAGTGCAGACAATATGGAGCTAGTTGGATCAGTGGTCCAACTTGGTGGAAGGCAGCTTCCTTTGTAACTCCCAGTTGGGGAAATCTCTGGTCCAAAGGTACCCAAATTCTCTTGGGCCACTGCCCCCTTGGTTCAATAAGCTCATCCCCAGTGACCCTCTGCCCTATAAACACTATACACACACGCACACACTATAAACCAGGACGCTGGTTCGCAGAACCCACTAAAGAAGATAATTATACGATAGAATTCAAAACAGTAACGATTAACTGCACATCTATTCACAATCCAGTTAATACTATTCCGTTTAATGAATTCAACAAAACTGTTGAACTTGATCCAGTGATACTAGCTTGTTGAAGTCTGATAGTCATTTACACCTCCTCTTGCCTCTGAGCACTTCCCAGGTAATCCCACTCCCCTCCTCTGGGGGTGGGGGTGGTACTGCCCACATTGGGAACCAAAGCCCCTCCTTGACTGCAGCACCTGGTTTCAGTAGTCATTGCCCCCCCCCCCACTTTCCAGCCTGTCTCCCAGCTGCCAGGACTAGGAATGTGCTATGGGATCATAGAGTCATAGAACTGTAGAGTTGGAAGGGACCCTGTGGATCATCTAGTCCAGCCCCCTGCAATGCAGGAATATGCAGCTGTCCCATACAGGGATCGAACCAGAAGCATTTTGCCATTCTCTTTAAAAAACAAAAAACAACTTGTTGCTCTCAATAGTAAATCCTGCACATTTCCAGTGTTGTTGTGGAAACCAGGAATTCATTTAGCCCATTCACATACAGTGGTACCTCGGGTTACAGACGCTTCAGGTTACATACGCTTCAGGTTACAGACTCCGCTAACCCAGAAATAGCACCTCAGGTTAAGAACTTCGCTTCAGGCTGAGAACAGGAATCGCGCAGCAGCAGCAGGAGGCCCCATTCCCTAAAGTTGTACCTCAGATTAAGAACAGTTTCAGGTTAAGAAAGGGCCTCCAGAACGAATTAAGTTCTTAACCCAAGGTACCACTGTTTTTATTTATTTTTAATGTATTTATTGCATTTAATGTATTTATTGCGTTTGTTTCCTCAAAGGGGCTAGGCTCAAGGTTGATTTTGGGCCAGTCGCTGCCTCCCAGTTCAGTTTAACAGGGTGGTATAAGAGTCACTCTCTTGTGAACATTGGGAATTTTAGCTGCATGAGGGGAATAGGGGCCTCCTAGCAACTCTTAACAAACTACCGTTCCCAAAACGGTTTGAGAGCCAGTGCGGCATAGCGGTTAGAGGGCTGGACCTGCGGGGCCAGAGTTCGAATACCGACTGAGCCATGAAGCTCGCCGTGTGACCTTGGGCCAGTCATTCTTGGTCTAACCTACCTCGCAAGATTAAATTGGCAGGAGGGGAGAACTTTGTATGCCACCTTGAGCTCCTTAGATGAAAGCAGATAGGATATAAATGTAATAACACACACACGCGCACACACACACACACACACACACACACTGCTGGAGTTGTATGTGCATGTGCCATGCAACCAGAAACACACCCTGCTGGTGGCAGTACCGGCAGCCCCTTCTCTGTCTGTGTTTAACTGCTGTCTATTCCTCAGCTGCAGGCAGCATTGCAACAGGTGCACATGTGTGGTCCGGGAGGAAATGCTGGTTTCACGCGTTAAGCTTGCGCTGTGCTGTGGGCTGTCAGCCTTGTTACCCTAGTCCAGAAGGGATCATACACATAACTTGGGGCATGGCGCTGCCTGAGGTGCCATCAATCACTGATCCACGCCAGCCTGGATTAAAATCCCCTCTCCCTTTAATGACCTTTCCATCTTTCCCCCTCTCAGATGCCTGCTACTTATATATCAACAAGTGAGACATAAAAAGCTGCTCTTGGGGCTTCATCTGTTTCACTGAGAACTCGCTTGGAAGACACCTGGAGAGTTATGGCTCTCCGGATAACCGAAAGCTCAGATCTTTTAAGGACAGGGAGAGACACTCTGTGAATTGTACATATTCCCAGATTCATAGCTGAACGTCTTAGGCAGCTGCAGGCCAACAGTACTTGGTTAAAACAAATGCACAGAATTCCCTTCTTGCAGGTGTTACGAATCTTCAGCGATTCTTCATATTTATCCTACACACACACACACACGTTTGTGTGTGTTTGGTGCAGTGCAGGCAGGTTATGTAAAGTTAAAACGGTCCCAGGAGCAAGAGGGCTTTCGGGAAGAATGGGGCAGCTGTTGAACTCATGGCCAAATCCACACCAGTTCTTCTCTTGGTTACTGGAAGCTGACTCAGAGATGAATTGTCTTGCTAGGTCAGGCTGGTAAGGTCCAACGAGCCCCGTAGTCTGTTCCAGCCAGGATGAAAAGCTCTTGGTGCAGGGAATGAGGGAAACAGCCTCTTTCCTGCCACTCTCTTAACTGTGTTTCACCCTTACTTTTCCATCATCCTTGGAAGGCAAGCAAAAAAACGGTTTTTGAAAAGCCCACAATATGATTTTATAACATGTGGACCCTGCAGCAGAATGTTGCAGAGCCGCGTGCTCCTGCTTAGGTGTCAGTTGGCTGTGTCTTCCTTCAGGAAACTTTGTTCCATTTCACCCTCCCTGGTTTTCCATTCTGCCCCCCCCCCAATGCTGATCATTCTCTGGCTGCTGAGAATGCCCTGTCCTCATTGAACTGTCACTCCCTTCATTTAGAGTCCATCTCCTTGCCGTCTTTTGTGTTTCTGTAAACCTTCCGGTCCGCCACCTCAATGACTTCCTCTTGTGGGCCATTTTGCGTACAGAAGGGCCTATGCTAAGAATGTGAGTTCACTCTTACTATATTTGCTTGTTTATCTTTCATTTCATTTCATGTTATCCTCCCCTTTCATCCAAAGGCAGCCCCATGGCCTCTATCGCAGGGGACTCCAAGTTTGTGGCCACCTTCAGAATGTTGAGAAAGTGTCATGTTAGTCACTGATAGCTGTTTCATCCTTCATGAATTTACCCAGTCCTCTTTTAAAGCCAGTGGCACTGTGGGTTAAACCACAGAGCCTAGGGCTTGCTGATCAGAAGGTTGGCGGTTCGAATCCCTGCAAAGGTGTGAGCTCCCGTTGATCAGTCCTTGCTCCTGCCAACCCAGCAGTTCGAAAACACATCAAAGTGCAAGTAGATAAAAAATAGGTACTGCTCTGGCAGGAAGGTAAACGGCGTTTCCTTGCGCTGCTCTGGTTCGCCAGAAGCGGCTTAGTCATGCTGGCCACATGACCCGGAAGCTGTACGCTGGCTCCCTCGGCCAATAAAGCGAGATGAGCGCCCCAACCCCAGAGTCACCTGCGACTGGACCTAATGGTCAGGGGTCCCTTTACCTTTAAGTTGGTGGCCACCGCTTCTTCCTGTGGGAACAAGTTCAACAGTTTAACTATGTACTGTGTGAGGCAGTTCTTCCTTTTTTTGTCCTGAATCTTTCAACATGCAGGTTCATTGGGTGCCCATGAATTCTGGGTGGAACTCAAGAAAACTTTCACAGGCACCATTGGAGGTACTGGTGGAAAACTGCTCTATGGTTGCAGCCTGTGGACAGATCCTGTGAAGGCTATTCCACAAAGTTAAACTTTAAAATATAACATTATTCCCCTACCCCTTTGTTACTTTTTTGGGTTTTCCATTCTTTTGTGCAGCTTCGCAAAAGCACTTACTGGAAAAGGTGGAAATCTGATTAGCTGAGAAGTCAGATGAGCCCTCTTCCTCCCTCTGCTCTCCAAATTGCTTTGAATTTTGACATTGCAGGCTCTCCAGCTCTGAAATCACATTAGATATGATGCTGTAAACCAAGGATTTATTGCATTCCTATGTGTTTGAAATCAAGCTCAAAATGGGCTGCAGTCAGCAGCTTTAATTGACAGCCACGTCTTCCTCCTTTTTGCCGTTAGGACTCTGAAAGGGAGGGTAATTATCCCAATTGGTTTTATTGCATTAACGTGGGCCGGAGTGGAACATAAAGGGCGCTTTCTTTCCTCCTTTTGTTTTTTGCAATGCTTCCTCGGTATCTGTACATGAGAAGTGGGAAAGGGACAGACTTTCTGCAGCGAAGCTTCATGGGAATTTTTGGAAAGTGATGTCTACAACGTTCCGACCTCTGACCTTCCAGCTGCAGCCGTCCCGTACTCTGTGGAGATCCCATACTTGACTTCTTAGTAGCCTCCTTTGTACTTTTCTGATCTTGCTTCATTTGTCCGAGTCATAGCCCTTTGGCAAGAAAACTCTGCGGTTTTTATCTCTCTGCCTCCTGCCCCTGCCTCTCCATGGCTTAAAAAGGCGCATAGCAGCTAAGACCCCAAGAACCTTTCAGAAATCCTATTCACCCACCCCTCACAGCAAGTCTTCAAAGTCAAACTCTCGTTCAGTCTTCCTCTTTTTTGTGTCTATAAAAAGGATGGGGCGGCGGGAGGGGGGGGCGGCGGTGGCGGAATGAGTTGGAGAGAGCAGCAAATAAAAGACAACTGATAATGCTGAGCTAAACCTCATTCAGTATAACCCATTAAATATGACATATTATAAAACCAGTATTTCAAAAACAATTGTACTAAAATGTATTAAAAACTGCATCCCTAGGTGGGCTTGCTCAAACAAACAAAGGTTTTTAGCAAGCACCAAAATGCTTTCCAAGAATCTGCTCACTTTGTTTCCATGGAGGGTCATTTCCCTTGAGTGGGGCTTGGGTAGGAGAGTTGTGCACAAAGCTGAAAATCTATCAAATGGTAATAAAGGTAGCAACAGAGACCCAATACAGTGGTACCTCGGGTTACATACGCTTCAGGTTACACACTCCGCTAACCCAGAAATAGTACCATGGGTTAAGAACTTTGCTTAAGGATGAGAACAGAAATCGTGCTCCGGCGGCGCGGCGGCAGCGGGAGGCCCCATTAGCTAAAGTGGTGCTTCAGGTTAAGAACAGTTTCAGGTTAAGAACGG